GAATCTCAGTTTCAGATGAATACTTTTTTCTGTCTATGGCTAATTTAACAGGTGATTTGTAACCATCTTACTTACTCGGTTGGCCATCTTTACGTGTGTGGTCATACTGGAGGGGGACTACATTTCTTACTGCCTGTATTGTTAATATTAAAGTAAATATACATTGTACAGAATGCATTCATAGCTATATCAGATAATTATGCAAGAACAATGCTGAGAGCAGACGCCAGGAACATTGCTGTCAATCAGTAACAAATTTGTACTGAGTTAATCTCAGATCAGTATTGAGAGCAAACATCCCCCTGCAGACACACATACTGCTCCTATACACATACAGTACCAGTGCCCTAACATGTTCTCAGAAACATCCATAACAATCGGTATACAGAAATATCATAATTGGATGCAACTCATCCCCTACTGATTGTCATTGCCATATACAGATCAGGTGTACATAGCCTAAAAGCCTTGATTGCTATTCTCTATACATATATTTCTTATGAACATATTTTACATTTGCTGGTGACACTTTTGTCGCACTTCCCCCTTAGGGATTGCCGATGAATTTGGGTCCCCCTATAGTCCTGCACAGTCAGCCAGTTAGCATTTTCCACACAAGCTTTCATTTTTAGACAGAAATCAGGCCTTGAGTGTTGGTTTTGTTGTTTTATTGAGGGGATTAAACTTGGATGGAGTAAAGGGGGGTATAGGATGCCCAAGGGAACTGAAATCTGAGGACAACTTCATGAACTACTCACAGCTTCTTTTCTCTGACAGAGTCTCTGTTGGAGTTCTAGCCGGCAGCTCCAGTTGTACCACCCCGGACCCTAGATAAACTCCTCTTCACCCAGCGATCTGGAGACTTTCTTCCTGGCTCCTGTTCTTTTAAGTAAGGTGTACAGACACTAGCAGATGACTAATATGGTTTCCCACCATAATGCTCCTTCTCCTATCTGCCCAGGGGGTGCAGGTGTACTCACTCAGATCCTCTTCTGTACCGCTTGCGGAATGGTTGCTGCTACCAACCTGTTATCAGCTGGGCTTCTTCTTCCCTGACATATAGGTGGTCCTCTCTCAGGGGCCTAGTGAGTTCCAAGTTTTCTGCCTTTCCAGCTTGGGGCTCACAGGCAGGCCCCATCTCACTAAGCCTCCTGGCAGCCTCCTTCCTCACAGCCTCACATCTTCCTCTCCGTGAGTCCTGAGGTTCGTCCTTTCCAGCTCCAGGCTCACAGGCAGGCCCCATCCCACTGGGCCTCTGGGAAGCCTTCCACCTCAAGCTCACTTCTTCCACCTGACTCTCCTCTTACTGAGCAGGCTCCAACACCTTTTAAGGGAGACCAACCCCCTGCCAAGCCTCCTGGTGGGGATTGGCTAAGGTCCCACAAAAGTGCAGCCAAGCACTCCTCAGATCCTCCCACTGGCTCCAAGACCCTCCTCCGAAAGCTTCAGAGCAGGGGAAAATCCAGCAGGGCTGGCCTGCAGAGTCTCCCAGTCCTAACCAGAATTTGACCTCTCTAACTATCTCACCTGAGCTGCTAATCTGCTCCTTGCTAACTAGGAGGGTGCTACACTTTCATCAAAGAATTCTCTAAATGGTTCAAGCACCAGAAACATTTGTTCTTACGCTTAAGCTAGCCAAAGTTTAGAATTTCATTTGAAAATGTTAGTTTTTAAAATGTTCATTTGATTTGCTAATGGTTAATTGTGAACAATAGACAATTTTTCTTGTTCCGAATCTTCAGTTGATGTGGTCCTAAGTGGGGAAAAATCATAGCTATTGGAATGAGCAAGGAAAAGTTTAATCCTAAGTTAGAACTTTCAGGGGCATGAACTTTCCTTCTTTTAAATGATTATGAATGGTATGGAGATGAGAAAGAACAAAACAAACAAAGGTTTCTGTATAGTGCATGCAAAATTGGTTTTTTTAAGATTTCATATAAATATATACAGGAAATTCATTACGCGTCCATGAACTGATGAAAATATAATGCATATATACATTTTGCTTTACCTATTCTTTCCTTGATTTCATAACTAGTAAAAAAAAAAAAACAAAAAACTTGTTTAGTATATCTGGAATCCATATAAGTAGTAGGACTGGAGGAAATCTTTAGGGCTTTCAACAAATTAGATGACCCAATGATGGTAAAAATCGAATGCTCTGAATAAGGGATTTTAGAATTTCATACAAACGGTTGAATAAAAACTGAACCATGTATGTGCAAATTGTTAAGTACAATAAAGCATATCAACCAAACAAAACCCATTTTGTGCTAGTCTGACTTCAGTAGATGGAATTTCAATTGGTAGTTTTGTTTTTAGTGACAGCTGTGTCTGGATTCGGGAGATTCTTTACCAATCATTTGACCATTGTCGTGAGACAAAAAGTGAAAGGAAACTTAAAATGTTACAGTCCCTGCAACAGGAGTAGAGAGGACATCCCCCAGTGAAGACTTCCGCTCTGATGATAATTGTCAAAGTTGGAAGTATCCTTCAGCAACCCTCGCCTGTGCTTTGCATCAAACTATTAGACTGGGCCAGTTTTACAGCTACGTGCTATCTCCTTGCATTCTGGTAAAAAATTGGAAGAAAGAAAAAGTGATTTTTTTTTTTTTGACCAAGGTCTATAGCAACCAACTACTGCTGTTGACAACACCATACTCTTGTGCTAGTGCGCAGTTCTGATAAGTATAATTAAAATTTTCACAATGCAAAGATAAAGTTAAAATCCAAATACTTCTTTGGTGGCAACCCTAGTAGTACCTTTGTTATTTCAAGCCCTGGTTTCATTTCAGCTGGGTTTTTTTTTTTTCTGTTTATGTATCTTTGAGTAAAGAAGCAATAAAAAAATAAACACTGAAGATTCATCAGTGTGGTAACCAGTGCAAACATCACGCTCTCCTTGTTAACTGGCCATCTGTACTCTCTTCTTTTAGCTCTGCGGGATAATGAATAAAGTAAACAAGCCACAGATTGGACAAAAAGATACTTTTCATTTAGGAAAAAAGCCATTTATTATTCCATTCTGAAACAAAATAAAAGCTGCTAGCCTAGGTAGTAGTTATTTAAAAAGTGGTTCTACTTCAAAATTAAAATATCCAAACATTGGGCCTTTCTTGTATCATACCTGGAATTTGTAGAGGATTGCATAAGTGACCATGCTGTTGAATCAGTGGCCAAGCTAGCTTCAGTGAGTATAAAATGGACCAGTGAATGGTACTTTGTCTATTTTTTTTTTTATTATCTTTTGAAAAATCTTATTCTGAGTAATGCAGCTGCCTACAATAGAACCTTCATATGTGTCCACAAACACCAGATGGCAGTCAAGAGAATCTACTATTTAAAGGATAAGTTCACCTTTGGGAGTGTGTGACATGTTCCACCAGTTTTTAGTGAAGGATCGTGTTCCCAGCTTTGCAGGGACAAATGATTCTTCACTCCTCCCCCCCGTCAGAACAGAGCTCTGCCTTGTTTACATAGGCAGAGCTCTGTTCTGTGTCTTGCCCGATGATCAGCGGGTGCCGGTGGACATCCATTCACTGACACTCGCAGATCTGCTTTTGCTGTGAGTGTTCACTACAGAAGTGATCCACAGGTGGCGCCAGCATGCCCCCTATGGCGGAAGTGATTTTGCACAGGAGGGCTGCCCTGTAGCAGTAAAATTGCTATAGGGCAGCCCTTAAGTGGTAAAACTCAGTACACACACACAGTGAATGATGAAAGTGAGGCTTCCCACCTGTTAGTTAGGTCACACCGCGGAAGTAAAAGAATGTTACATCACTTCCGCTTTCAATGCAAGACAAGTCCTCACTTTCACACATGCAAATCATGTAGTGTTTCCATATTTTTGTCCATATTTTTATTATCCTATCTCTTGCCTTGATTACTGGAATTCTCTTCTGGTTGACCTACCTGTAGATAAACTATCCACTATTCAGCCTATCATGAATGCTTATGCCAGACCTATTTACCTTACTGGCTTCTCATAACCCAAAGTATAAAATCCTGATACTAACAACAACCATACACAGCCATCCACAAATCTGCCCTGAGCTACATCACCAACTTCATCTGAAAGTATCACCCAAACGGTCCTCTTCAACCTTCCCAGAACCTCCTGTTCTCTAGCTTCCTTTTCACCTCCTCCCATGCTCAAGTCCATGATTCCTTCAGAGCCTCTCCCCTTCACTGGAAGTCCATACCCAATCTGTTTGGCTATTTCCTACACTGTCTTCCTTAAGTCGATGCCTGAAAATTCATCTCTTCAGGTAAGCCTCCACCTAACAGTTAAACTTTTACTTTCATTACCAGCTCATCCACAAAGTTATTTTTTGTATCGCTTGCCTGTCAGCAGCTACAAAAACTGTAGCTGCTGACTTTTAAAAAACGGATACTTACCTGTCCCTTAGTCCAGCAGTGTCCTCACACCGGCCGAGTTGATCGTCCGTCTTGTCTCCTCGGTGCCGGCATCTTCAGTGTGGGCACCCGGCTGTGACAGTGTGCAGCTTCACAGCTGGGTGCCCACTTCGCATGCGCGAGTAGTGCTGCACTTTCTGAATGGTCCTGTAGTCTTCTGGGACCTGTCAAGTGTCCCAGAAGACAACTTGGAGGGAGGAAAGACAAATGCCGCATCAAATCACCTAGGCGATCGAGCGGAAGTGAGAGCGGGTACCTGTCAATTTCAGGTGCCCATTCCCCAAAGGTGCCAATCCTTAACAGGGAGCGGGCGACCAGTCCTTAAAGTGGAACTTCCCCTTTTGGGTGGAGCTCGTCTTTAAGCTCTCAGGAGCAGGGTCCTCCTAACCCTATTATCTTAACTTGTATTTTAACTATACCTTCTCTCTTTAAATTGTGAAGCACTACATAAACTGTTGGTGCTTCATGAATCCTGTATAATAATTTTTTGGGTATACGCATTATTAGTATATCAAAACCCTTGTGTTTTGGAGCCCCAGACATCTGAATACACCACAACACAGTACATCTACAGGCCTCCATGTCTTCAGCAGGGGCGGACTGACTATTTGGAAATTCGGGCACTGCCCGAGGGCCCGGGGCCAGTAGGGGGCCCCATGAGATGCCCCTGGTACCTTTTTCATAGGCTTTTTTGAGTTTGGGCAAGGACACAGGGGCCCCATTAACCCCTATTGCCCGGGGGCCCCATGAGTTGTCAGTCCGCCCCTGGTCTCCAGTCTAAACCAGTACAAATCCAGTTACTATGTGATACACAAGCCATGCCTGCTGCAAATTCATATTGTACAAGCAGACACAGCCTACATGAATGTGACTTCTCTGCTCTACACTCAAGAGCAGTGCAGCAGAGTTGTCACCCAATCACAGCACTTAGCCATGGGGTGGACTTCCCTGGCAGGATTAACATGTATTTGTGAGACCAAGCAGGGGTACAAAGGGAAAACTGTAAGTGCAGTTGCTTTTACTTTACAATACACCTTTCATGAGATAAATAAGTAGGCAGGCTACCATTGATGTCTTCTTTCTTAAAATTACAGATACCTGGTGGTTTCCGGATTTGGTATTTTTGCTTCATGGACCTTCGGGGATAGGCCGAGATCGCCTCAGTTGTTGATCTCAAGCAAATATCTACTATATAAACCGCTAGTCTTAGTTTTTTTTAGAGCTGACAATTAGATTTAAACCTTATTTGGAGTTTTAATATAATTAATACATCAAGCAAAGAGAGATAAAGCTATATAGCAAATTATTTCCAGACCTATCCATTGCACATGTGAGGTGGTTTGTGAAAACTGCCACTTTAAGCTCAAATGAAGGTAAAATGAGTTGTGTTTGTAAAATGGCATTATTATGAACTACCTGAATCTGCTGCATGTTTCAGTAATGGTACTTAAACTGGTTGCAGGTCTTTATGAACCTGCAGGGGGACATTTTACAGGTCCGTACTACCAGAAAAGTGGCTCTAATGCTTGAATTCACCTTTATGGATTATGAACAATTGCCATGATTTTTTTTCAGTAACTATTATTTTTACCTCCTTTTTTTAAAATGTTTACATTTCAACAGTCCTTATCTTCCCCAGCTGCTTTAAGCTACATCATGTCTACATGCAATCACTCCAGTATAAGCTGCACATATTACCAATGCCTGCTCAAAGGGTCCTTTCATATGGGCATTCTGGTTTTTTTCTTCAGTTCAGTCACGTTTTTTCAAAGAAAAAATGGATGAGGATACATCTGTTTTTTCATCCATTTACATTGGTTTACATCCGTTTAGATCCATCTACATCCGTTTTTCATCCGTTTATGGCCTTTTTCATCCATTTACATCCATTTTTGGTCCATTTACATCCATTTACAACCGCTGGCATCCGTTTTCCATCCGTTCCGGGGTTTTTTTGTGGAAGAAAAATAGGGTTTTTTTCCGTTAAAAAAAACGAATGTTAACGGATGCGGACATTAACGGATGTAAAAAGATGTTCTTCTGTTTACAGCCGCAAGTCCATAGAAATATATGGGGGTCCGTTTTTCATCCGTAAACGGACAGATGAAAAACGGACATACGTGACGCCCCTGTGAAAAGGGCCAAAGAGTGTTGGCATGCTACTAATAATTTCCAGCAGGGGTGCATGTGACAGGATGACAATGCAGAAGCATTGTTGGGAGAAGGTTGTTATCCCGTCACAGGAAGCTATTAAACATGGATATTTATGGCAGGATCACCAGGGATTAAGTAAATGAATTCTGCAAATTTAAAATATTGAAAATTACTTTTGAAAGCAGAGTAATACATTAGGCCACTTTCAGACAGGGCAGACCGGCCAGTGGATCCGGTTGCTCAGCGGGGATTCTCTCTGTCGATCCCCACTGAGCAAGCAATTGACAGGTCTGTGTCCTCTGCAGACTGGGCACAGAGACAGCCTGCTTTTTCCTATGAGGCGGTGGGATAGAAACAGGCCATCCGTCCCTTTCCACCCAACTATCATCCAATCCCGCCGAACAGATGGGGAACGGATCCCCAACCATCTGTTTTTGGCTTACAGGATCGGATGGGATGCCGGCGGGTGTCAGCGAACACTTGTCCGCTGACACCTGCCGGTCCATAGAGGTCTATGGATGGTCTGATTGGGTCCGCCTGAAAAGCTGACAGGTGGACCTGATCGGACCGTCAGTGAAAAAAGGGCCTTAAAGCTTATATGAGATTTTAGTAATTGGGTTTATGTTTACTTTAATAAAATTTGTTATATTCCTTGACTCATAAACTAAGCTTGCAAACAGAAGTATATTATTAATAATAATAATTAAAAATATTTTCCCTTTAACAAAATCAAATAATTCTCTGCATGTTTTATACTCTTTCCAGGAAGGCAATTTTTACTGAAGGTTTTCTGAGTCAATATTAGCATATGCAAATGGTGTCTCAACCTGAGTTTACTTGTTTCGCAAAGTTTGGCTGGTATCTATGGCATTGGTTGGACCTCTGTCAACATCAAGAATATTGATGCAACACAATCTTTTTTTTTTTTTTTTTTTCTTTTTAGAGTCCCAAGATCTATTATATATTCCTAGTCCTTTTCTATGAGTCCAAAGTGTCTATAGCCTCTGGCTAGCAGGGTATAGAAATACCCTGTGTCTGTGGCCTCTGGCTAACAGATAGTGCATAGTTAGAAGGCACAAGGTCTTCCAAGATTGATATAGACAGATAAAATATTTGCATGGGAATTAACCCTTTCACCTCTCACCAATCTCTTATCAGTGACTGTGCACAGACAATTAATTCAGCTACAATAATAGAGTTGAAAATTCTCAGATTTCACTTAGCTGACAATTTTGTGGATTTCGGTTTCTTGCCCAGCCACATAGCTTTTTTCAGTGTCTTATTGAATGAATCCTTTTGATTTATAGCATTCAAATCATTTATTATAATGCACGCATGTTAAATGCTATAACAGCAGGAAATGTTTAATAAATACAGAACTAAGTTGGATGGAACTGAGCTGTCATCAGCTGGAAGCGACCGTAGACAGAGTACTTTTTTATTTTAGTTGATGCATTGCATCACTTAAAAGTATTTCTGTTTTCGCTTCAAAAACTAGCAATAATATTGGGCAGAAAACACACCAGATAATCTGATAATGAATTTGTTTGTGTGAAGTTAGTGGTAGGGGAGGCAAGGAGAGATCATGAAAACAGGAGGCCAGTCATAGCGTGGAAGGAAAGGGAGAGGGGAGATATGACTTGTATAGGGGCTGGGGTGGGCATGGGTTAGGAGGGACAAGGCATGTAGTGTTCCCTACTCCCGGCCAGCTTCCAAAAGCAACATAGTTGACTCCGGCCAGGCTCCAGGCTGCTGTGCTGTACACATGGCACCTTCTTCCCGCCAGGAACACATTCCCACTGTGCCTTTTAATAGGCTTTTAATTCCCATAAGCGTGGAAGGGGGAGGGCTGAGGGATCATTACATTAATATGTGCTCAGTTTAAACACAAACCACAGCATTCTCCCGCTGCCGAGTGTTCTGCTGCACATGAGAAGCTGTGTGCTGGTGACCTGTCCTCGTATGGTCTTCGGGTGACAGTGAGCAATAAATGAAATGCTTGTTACTTTTATAAAAAGCAGATGACATAGACAGTATTTGTCCATAACTACAAGCCTTCAGAAAAAAAAATGAGATTTCTAACAATAATGGGGGTTCATTAAACAAAGGCAAATAGGCTGTTGACTTTGCAAGGGAATTTATGTTTTGAAAATGAAAATGTTCCCCAGAGCTTAGTGAATGAGGTGAAGCTATGCTGACTTCCATCATCTAATCATGTGCTAGCAAATTACTTTTGTTTTTTTATTTTCCTTTGTCGTCATTGGGTATACTTTGCAAAGTGAGTTTTTACTGCATTCACTAAGCTAAGGGAAAATTCCTTTGCAAAGTGAACAGCCTCTTTGCCTTTAGTAAATAAATCACAGTGTGTCCAGTCTGAGCTTCCTTTGAAATTAATGCATTAGTAACCCTAGATTCACACATAAACGTTTTCTGCAGCATTTTGCAGAAATGTAGTACAGTCCATTTAACATGATTTCTTATGGGACATGTTTTTCACACCTGTGCGTTTTCACCTGGTGTGTTTTTTTGGAAAGGGTTAGGGACTTTTTTGAACGAAAAAAGTTGTGTTTTTGTTTCTACAGACTTCAATGGAAATGCTGCAGAAAAGCATTTACTGCATTCTTGATGCGTTTTTGATGCATTTTTTATGCATTTTGCGTTCTGCCTAGCAACAAGAAACATTTTAAAAATCACAAAACGCAGCAAAAACACAAGCTGCATAGGTGTGAACCTAGGATAATAGTGGGTTGCGCCTGCATGATAGTGAGAAAATATCAAAAATACATTTACTCTGTTTGCGACACATCAAAATGTGATCCAAGTTTGGTGGAAAGGTCACACCAGATCTAGAAGGTCTAATCTTAGCTGTGATGGGAAGATCTCCAACCACCCATCTTAATAAAATTCTTGCCAGTTAATTGGTAAGCAAAAGCTGGTCAAAGTTAACCCCTTCTCACCCAGCCCCTGCATCCATGCAAATAGGTCTTTATGCAAGGAGGGTGGGATGGATTTCCCAATCATGTGATCACTGTGATTGACTGTCATAGTGGTCTCAATATTGGAAGTCCTTCCTGCTGGCTCCCAGCTGAGAGTGAAGACTGAGAGACAGTTTAGCCATGGTTAGAAACCTCACCCATCCTTGGATGCATATGTGCATATGTGTTTTTTTTTAATTTGACAGCTAGCACTGGGGAGAAGATCCCCTGCTAGCTCTCAAAATGGGGGATCGGCATGGAGCGGGAGCCGGTGCTTTCATAACATGGTACATGTTACACTGTGAATACGGCGGTAACATGTACTATGTTATGAAAGGTGAATTTATCCTTTAACATTCGCTGCAGACACTGGAGAGAGACTGTGCTGCCACATCTACCCAGAGCCATCAGATCCTGAGTCACCAATAACATTGTCAGTTCTCTGGGAGATCGTCCTCGCTGAGTCCTGAGTCACGACTGATATCATCAGTTCCAGACAGAGAACGGGAGGAGGCGTGATTACAGACTGGTGGTGACAACTTCCTGCCCACACTTAAAGAGAGGTTGTCACCTATTTATAGGATATGGTTTGGGTACAACCAGGGGGGACTGACCATTTGGCAACTCGGGCACTGCCCGAGGGCCCAGGGTCAGTA